GCACTGCCGGTCTATGGGCTTGATGAATGTCAAGTCATCCTTTTTTAAGAGAGGTTCCTTAAAGATTGGTGATGACCAATCGACGAGTTATTGGGATGATACCTGGTTGGGTGACATGCCATTAGTTCTACAATACCCGACCATGTATAATTTTGTGTTCAGAAAAGAGGATTCAGTGGCTTCTGATCTTCGGGGCGGCCCTTTGAACATCCAAATTTGTAGGGCGTTGGTGGGTGACAAATGAACTAAGTGGATCCATTTGAGTTCTAGATTGATGTCAATTAATCTAACTCAGATGACAGATTAATTCGAGTGAAGATTAACCACTAATGGTGTCTTCATTATGAAGTCTATGTATGCGGGTCTCATAGATTCTGGACCTATTTTTCCCAGAAAGCATATTTGGAAAACAAAGGTTCCTTGCAAGATCGAAGTTCTCATGTGGATTTTGCAGAGGGATGTAGTTCTAACCAAAGATAACCTTGCTAAGCATAATTGGCATGGCAGCAAAAATGTTGTTTTTGTGATTAGGAGGAGACAATTCATCATTTTTATTTCTGTCATGCCCGTTTACTACCTTGATCTGGTGCATGGTTCATGTTACATACAATTTAGCACCACCAACGAGTATTTAAATTTTTTTAGAAACTAGTTAGGTGGTATTCATCATATGCTGAAGGGCCAAATCCGTGTGGGAGTTTATGCCATTCTCTGGGCAATATGAAATTACCGGAATGATTAGGTCTTAAACATATTGTCTTCTCCTAATTTCTTGCAGGTTATCTACAGACCTATGGCTTTAATCTGCATGTGGTCATCACTGCAGTGTGTGGACGCGAGTGCTTATGGCCTCTGGATGCAGTCAGCTGGAAATGGTTGCACAGGGTTTGTTCAAATAGTTTGGCTGGCGAGCCACTCGTAGATTATGTGAATGAGCTAGATAATCCCTGGTTCGACCGCATGTGTTCGTGTTTTCCGTTTATTTGTTTTACCATCTAGTACTCAGTGACTTGAACTTATTCCATGTTTGATAGTATGCATGTGTGCATCATGTGATGTAGAGGCCGAAGTACCCCCCTTTTCGGAAAAATGGATAGCTAGAAATATTAATGTGATATTTGAATGAGTATAAGGCATATGTTACAAAATCTATCAGGAGTGACTCCATACCTACCGGATGTTCGTCAATAATACTATGATGCCACTTTGTGTATGCTCTATTCATGTGCACAAATACAGAGGTGCTCTCAGTTAATTATCTTGAAGAGTCTAAGCGAATGAAATGCACCCACATACCTTTTTGTTGTACATCTTATCAACCATCAATACCTTTTGCTGTCTTTATATACCAACCATATTTGACTCTTCACCATGTACTATTGATACATCAAACCATGTAGAATAGTGAAGTGGTAACAGCCAAAGCAGGAACCTAGGAGAGAAAACGGTCTAGCGAAGTTGTACCTAGTAGCCATGTCAAGAAGCCAAAAATGAAAGAGCATGTGACTAAGAATCAGAGTCTGGATGCGTGTCTTACTTAAGAATAGGAGGCGTTGGGGGAAATTGATGTGAAAACATAGAAGACAGTATTGCTCTTGTGCCCTGGCCTCTTGCCATTTCTTTCCTTGAAGCTCTTCCACCAGTGACCCACACTAAGATTCGGGGTGCACCTCGGCGCTCTTGCATGAACCTGTCTTTTTTTACGATAAAACAACACCACACAAAACTGACACGCAAGACCAATTTGGTCGGTAGATCTAGGACACACCAGTGCTCCTGCTTTTCCTAAAAAAAACCTAGTGCTCCTGCTCGTTACTTTCCTAAGCCGCTTTGTGGACATTTGGAGGACACCAGACAAACTATAATGGTAATTGCAGCTAGATTAAGGCAGCAGAGACAATGTATTTTCCAATCCATGCAAGCTGCATTGCTTCAGAACTTCTTGCGGAATAATTATGATTCAGGGAACTAAGATATTCAGTAACATGAGAGCAGAAATGGACACTAGGAACTCTAATCTAAACATCCAAACTAAGCTAATTGCACTGCCTTTGGAATGCAAGACCACTTGTTGCTAAGGACACAATTGCCAACGGGTGGTTGCATAGAAGAAAAGCCAAAGATTGCAAAGAGATAGCTCTTTAACAGTAGCAACAAACACAACAATAAGCCTCAAGTCGCATAAAAACTGGTTTTATCAGTTTGTAAACAAAACTGGCTGCATGCTCAACTTGTTTATTGGGGTAGAGCATGCACACTGAATATGTTGGAATGGAGCGATTAGCGCTATTGACATAGTTTACATATCTTCATACAATTTAATTATTCAATTGGGAAGCGTGGCTGCCGGTCATGGCATCAACAATGGTGGTGGTGATTCACGATGGCAATACATCTTACTGGTCCATGT